CCTCAGGACACAATCCAGTCTTGTAGATCAGGTCCTGCCTTACTAACACAACTGCCACCCATCCTCCCTCATTAACATCATAGAGGCAGGTTTACAACATACAGGAAAATCACACAGTACCAGGAGTCATGGCCTAGCCAAACTGATACACACATTTTTTGGGGGACATAATTCAAACCATGACACTATACTACCTCTGTAGCCCTCACAGTATCTCACATAGTTCTGAGAAAACGAGAAGCAATCAATAAAAGTTTGATGGTTGATCAATAAACCTAATAGTTGCTGGGGAAAGCTGAATAATGGCGCCCCAAAGATGTCCATGTCCCAATCCCTGGAACCTGTGAATACGTAACTCTGCCAGTGAAAACCCGAATATGCCTGAATTGTCATAAACGGACTGTTGGTACAAATATGGACATTAAAGGCACTGCTGGGGAGGGCTCAGAAGGAAATGAGAAACATATTGTTAGAAACTGAAGGAAAGGAAATCCCTGCTGTACAGTGGCAAAAACTAGCTGACTTGGGTCCTATGGTTACGTAGAAAGCACAACTTATAAGCAATCAGTTTGGATATTTAGCTGAGGAGACTTCCAAGTAGTGTTGAAGGTGTATTCTGGTGTCTTCTTGCTGCTTATAAGAAAATGTAAGAGGAAAGAGCTAGATTGAGGGGAAAACTATAAAGCAAAAGAGAACTAGGACTTGATGATTTGGGAAATTCTTAAGATATCTAGATGGCAAAAGACGTTAAAATAGGAGATTTAGGATCAGGAAAGAGGCGTCTGGAAAGAAAACCAAGGGTGTGGCTGGACAACTTTTCATTAGTGCCTCAGAAGGATATTCAGTCAGAGGGCTCTTTGAAGAGATTAGATGGGTGACTCATAGGTCCCCTTAGCCATCTCAGGAAAAGCCAGGAATAGAGATGGGATCATCCAGGAAAGATCTGTGAAGGAGTCTCTAGTCTAATGGAGTGAATCCTAGAGACATACACAGAAGACCTACAAATTTTTGAGAATGTTATAGCAGCAGAAACACTGCCAGCTTGGATTGAAAGGGACAGAGAAAGGGTAAAATGAAAGAAGGCTGTCAAACTCCCAAACTTCTACATGTAGGAAACAGGCTAATAAGACTTCTCAGCTGCAAACATGTGCTACCCTTCATGAAAAAAGGAAGGATGACTTTGAGGGCCGAGCTGCGGACTCAGAGGGCAGAGACCCAAGCCACGGAGGATTATGAAACCTAATGGAATTTGCCCAGTTGAATTTTGGAATTGCTTGGGTTTGGTGACTCCTTTTTTCTTTTCCTTTTCTCCCTTTTTAAATGGTAACATCTATAACTGTTACCCTATGCCTAATCTGCCATTGTGTTTTGGGAGCAGATAACTTGTTTTCTAGTTTTGCATGTCCACAGAGGAATTTTCCCCAAGATGGATCAGACCCAGAGTCTCACACATACCTAACTTAGCTGACGAGATTTGGGACTTCTGAGCTGATGAGACTTAAATGAGACTGTGGACTTGAGTTAATGTTATAACAGGTTGAGACTTAGGGGAATTGTGAGATGGGGTGAATGTATTTTGCATGTGGAATGGATATGAGTCTTTGGAGGCCAGAGGGCAGGCTGTGATAGGCTAAATAATGGCCCTCCAAGATGTCCATGCCCTAATCCCTGAGATCTGTGAATACGTTACCTTACATGGCAAAAGGGGCTTTGCAGATGTGATTAAGTTAAGAATCTTGAGATGGGGAGATTATTTTGGATTATCGAGGTGTGTGCGATGTAACCACAAGTCTCCTTAGAGGGAGGCAGGAGATTCAGAGTCAGAAAAGGAAGATGGAAGGATGGAAGCAGAGGTCAGAGAGATGATGTTATGCTGTTGGCATTTTAAGATGAAGGAAGGGGCCATGAGTCAAGGAATGCATGCATCCTCTAGAAGCTAGGAAAGGCAAAAAAAAGGATTCTCCCCTAGAGCCTCCAGAAGGAACACAGGCCTGCCAAAATCTTGATTTTAGCTAGTGAAACTGATTTTGGGCTTCTGACCTCTAGAATTGTTAAGATAATAAATTTGTTAAGCTATCAACATTACAACAGTACATCAACAGGGAACTTCCAGAAATTCTAGCCCGATTCAGAAGAGGACATGGAACGAGGGATATCACTGCTGATGTCAGATGGATCAAGGTTGAAAGCAGTGAATACCAGGAAGATGTTTACCTGCGTTTTACTGACTATGCAAAGGCATTCGACTGTGTGGATCACAACAAATTATGGATACCATTGCGAAGAACGGGAATTCCAGAACACTTCATTGTGCTCATGAGGAACCTGTACTTAGACCAAGAGGCAGTCGTTCGAACAGAATAAGGGGATTTTGCGTGGTTTTAAGTCAGGAAAGCTGTGTGTCAGGGTTGCATCCTTTCACTATACCTATTCAATCTGTATGCTGAGCAAATAATCTGAGAAGCTGGACTATATGAAGAAGAACGGGCATCAGGGTCGAAGGAAGGCCTGTTAACAACCTGGGATATGCAGATAACACAACCTTGCTTACTGAAAGTGAAGAGGACTTGAAGCACTTGCTGATGAAGAGTAAAGACCACAGCCTTCAGTATGGATTACACTTCAACATAAAGAAAACAAAATCCTCTCAACTGGACTAATAAGTAACATCATGATAAATGGAGAAAAGATTGAAGTTGTCAAAGATTTCATTTTACTTGGATCCACAATCAACACCCACGGAAGCAGAAGTCAAGAAATCAGATGACGCATTGCATTGGGCAAATGTGCTGCAAGAGATCTCTTTAAAATGTTAAAAAGCAAAGATCTCACTTTAAGGACTAAGGTGTGCCTGACCCAAGCCATGGTGTTTTCAATCGCCTCATATGCATATGAAAGCTGGACAATGAATAAGGAAGACAAAAGAAGAATTGATGCCTTTGAATTACAGTGTTGGCGAAGAGTATTGACTATACCATGGACTGCCAGAAGAACCACCAAGCTCTCTTGGAAGAAGCACAGCCAGAAAGCTCCTTAGTAGCAAGGATGGCGAGGCTTTGTCTCACATACTTTGGACACATTATCAGGAGGGACCAGTCCCTGGAGAAGGACATCATGCTTGGTAAAATAGATGGACAGTGAAAAAGAGGAAAACCTTCAACAAGATGGACTGACACAGTGGCTGCAACAATGGGCTCAAACACAGCAACGATTGTAAGGATGGTGCAGGACCAGGCAGTGTTTCGTTCTGTTGTACATAGGGTTGCTATGAGTCAGAACTGACTCAACGGTACCTAACAACAAGAAGCCATTATATTTGTGGTAATTTGTTACAGTGACAATAGGCAACTAATACATTTGTCTATCTTTTACAGTGCTTCCCTCCAAACTATTAGTGGAACTGATTGAGCAACTGGAACACTGCCTACATTGTAGATGCTTGATAAATATTTGCTGAGTGACTGAGTAAATTCTCTCAGTGACTGGGAGGTGGCTGGGAGCAGGAATCGAGAACACCCACACACCATGGAGGCAGAGACAAGGACTCAGATGCCAGCTTTCCTACTTACTAGCAATGTGACCCTGAGCAAGTTACTTAATCACTCTGAGCTGCATTCTGACATCCATAAAATGGGCTAATAAATCCCTGCCTCATAGAATTGTTTTGTTAAAGCCGGGGTTCTCAACTGGGGGAGGTTGAGAAATCCGGTATTAAAGTAAGTGCATATTCATCGCAGCATTTAAAAGGATGACTACAACCTCTGAGTGTATTGAGATGGCCCATGTGGTCTTTATGGAAGCCAAGCAGAGGCAGTGGCTCATGTCTTTGAAGTCTGAGTGTGGTGGGCTGCTGGAGGGCCATCAAAATTTACTGGTACTCCACAGGGAAATAGGAGTTCTTGGGTGGCCTGCTGTATAAAAGCAATTTTA